GAGAGATATAACTGGGTGTCATCAGCGTACAGATGGTAGTGGAATCCAAAAGAGGTAATAAGTTTGCCAAGAGAGGCAGTATAAAGAGAAAATAGAAGGGGACCAAGGACAGAGCCTCGGGGGACTCCAACCGAGACAGAACGAGGGGAGGAGGTATCATTAGAAAAAGAGACACTGAATGAGCGTTGGGAGAGTTAAGAGGAAAACCACGAGAGGACAGAGTCACAGAGACCAAGCGATTGAAGAGTTTGAAGAAGGAGAGCATGATCAACTGTGTCAAAGGCCAGTAAGAGGCCTAGAAGAATTAGTATGGAGTAGTGGCCTTTGGATTTAGCTGCGATTAGGTCATTAGTAACTTTGATAAGCACAGTCTCAGTAGAGTGGAGAGGGCAGAAGCCAGATTGAAGGGGGTCAAGGAGAGAGTTGAAATTTAGGAAATGAGACACACGGGTAAAGATAAGTCTTTCCAGAAGCTTTGAGGAAAAAGGGAGCAGAGATATGGGACGATAGTTAGAGGGAGTGGACGGGACGAGTGATGGTTTTTTAGTATAGGTACTACAGTGGCATGTTTACGGTCAGCAGGGACAATGCCAGAAGAGAGAGAACAGTTGAAGATGTGTGTTGAAGGCACGAGACAAGTAGAGAGAGATCTAATAAGGTGAGATGGGACAGGATTGAGTGGGCAAGTGGTGGGGCGAGAGGAGCAAAGAAGAGCAGCCACCTCTTGGTCAGTAGCCGGGAAGAATGTCTGAAGGGTAGGAAAGGCATGATCTATGTGTGGTTGAGAAACCGAATGGCAAGGAGGGGAGAATTCTTTCCTTAGCTGTTCAATCTTGTCAGTAAAGTAACATGCAAAGTTATCAGCAGTAAGGTTAGTTTGGGGGGTGGCCACATCAGGGCAAAGAAGAGAATTAAAGGTGTCAAAGAGACGCCTGGGATTGCGGGAGCATGAACTAATGAGAGAGGAAAAGTAGGACTGTTTGGCAAGGGCAAGGACTGCACTGTATGGACACAATATGAATCTATAATGGAGAAAGTCTGACTGGGTGCAAGACTTCCTCCAAGAGCGTTCAGCACAACGTGAGCATCTTTGCAGGTAGCGTGTTGATTTAGTATGCCATGGTTGGGGGAGGGTCCTCCTCGAGGTGCTTGTTTGGAGCGGTGCTGCAGCGTTCAAGGCAGATTAAAGGGTAGAGTTATATGTGGAGATAGCCAGTGAAGGACAGGAGAGGGAAGGGATGGACAGCAGTCATGAATGTCAGCGGACAACTGCTGGAGATCAAGAGAATTAAGGTCCCTCCCGAGTTGAGGGGGGTTAGGCTGAGGTTGTTGGGTGAGGGGGTACATGAGAGTAAATGATAAGAGGTGGTGATCAGAGAGAGGAAATGGAGTGTTGCAGATATTAGATACTGTATCTGCATAAGTGAAGATTAGGTGGGAGAATTAGCCCACTGTGATAGCCTGAGGGAGGAAGTAATTGAAAGGTGGGTTAATATGAATATTGAAGTCCCCGAGAATTAGGGATGGAATGTTAGAAGAGAGGAAATAGGGTAGCCAGGCAGCAAATTGGCCAAGGAAGAGAAGAGGGGAACCAGGGGGACGATAAATAACAGCAATGTTACACGCTGTGTAATTTGACTCATAACAACACTCTGATTGGTGGATTGAAAGTAACCAATCAGAGAGTTATAAGTCAAATTACACAGTGTGGGAAAATTCCAAAGAACTTTCCCACGCTGTGCAAAATGACACAGAGCACTCTAATTGGCTGGATTTCAAGCTAACCAGTCAGAGTGTTATGAGTCATTTTGCACAGCGTGGGAAAGTTCTTTGGAATTTTCCCACGCTGTGCAAAATGACACAGAGCACTCTGATTGGTTAACTTGAAATCCAGCCAATCAGAGTGCTCTGTGTCATTTTGCACAGCGTGGGAATTTGACTTATAACTCTCTGATTGGTTACTTTCAATCCACCAATCAGAGTGTTGTTATGAGTCAAATTACACAGCGTGAGAAAATTCCAAAGAACTTTCCCACGCTGTGTAAAATGACACAGAGCACTCTGATTGGTGGATTTCAAGCTAACCATTCAGAGTGCTGTGACAGGTAAATGTAGAGACTTACCTGTCAGTCTCTTCATTTACCTGTCATAGCACTCTGATTGGATGGCTTAAACCCACCAATCAGAGTGCTCTGAGCTTAATTGCAGGGCGAACATGGTTTTATTTTTTTTGCGCTCTTTTTTATTTTTTTATTTTTTTTTTTTTAAGTGCGTTGGTTATTATGGATTTTTATTTGGCCCTTTTTGGGGGCTGAAAAAAGAAGATTTTAGAAGAAAGAAGACATTTTTTTTTTTTTTTAACAGGTATCTAGTTTAAGGTTCCCCCTCATTATTTTTAGGATGAGGAGGGTAGGTGGGGGTTATTTTTTGATCGGAGGGGGGTGACAGGGAGGGGGGTTACATTTTTATTTAGGGCCCCCACCCACCACCCAGGGTTTGGCTGTTCTAGTCATCAGCCAAACATCAGATTAGCATACAAATAATGCACAGTAGGATAAGTATTAAGCATAAAGTATATATTTTTTAAAGAAATAAAATAATAAAAAACATAAAAAACAACAACAATAATCAGAAGAGCCAGGTATTCCATGAACTTTAAAGTTATATTTCCTACCTAATTCCTTTAGTGTGTCAACCCTTTCCACAGAGGCAAGGTGCTGTCATTATAGGTCAACAAGTTTCTGCTCGACCGCCGCAAGTCGAGTGTCGTGAGTGCTTGTGGAGGCCTCCAGCAGCGTGAGCCTAGTCGAGGCACCCTCGATAGTGTCTTTAGAGTATGCCATATCAGTAGCTACGTTTTTGCGTAGGTCTGCGAACATGCCCTTTAGCAAGTCTTCCGTGACTGGTTTTCCAGGTGCTGGTGGATTGGGTGGAAGCCTGATTTTAGGACCATCAAAGAAAGGTCCTCTGAGGAGTATGTAGAACTCTTGACTTCCAGCGCTATTTTTTCCCATGCTGCTTTCAGTTCAGCTTTTGAGGCCTTAAATTTGAAATTCACTTTGATTTCACTTTCATTTCTCACTTTACTAAATAACCCTGTAAGTGTGGCTGTGTGAGTTTGGAAGTGTACATGGCTCTTTGTGTGACTCTACATGAAATTGTGAGTGGTTGCATGTAAGTAGTACCAGGGTGTTGTGCTACTAGTGAGTGGGGGGCATGGAGAGATTTACTGGCGTGTATGGGGAGAATTACTGGAGATGTGGGAGATGTATTGGAGAGAATGTGAGGACTCTCGGAGGTAAAATTTTGGTAGGGAATTGGCAGAGGACAGCAATCCGTCCATGGAACAAGGCAGCACAGTGTATAGAAAGGGTCCTACAATTTTAAAATATAGAGTGAAAGTGGGGAAACCAGCTTCACAAATGTGCCATGCAAATGCCTAGCATTTCAAAGCTATACATCAGAACTTGATATAATGACTAATTCAAGATTGCAAATGTGTTTTAGTTTTTGTGGAACTGCATTTGTTTACTCAATGGACGCTTGTTAAATTGTTGAAAAAAAGAAAACCTCTTGTGGGATAGAGATCAGTGACACGCTGGCAACAGAATTAATCCACATGGCCAGGTCTGGCAGCGCTGACTTACAAGTACTTGGGATTCCGTCCAAAATCGGTCTATTCAGACTGACTATTTAGCTTCCCTGGCGATAGCACACAAAATGACGCTCAAGATAAGCTTTTGATAGAAGGTCTGAAAATAAAATAGCTTCAGCTATGATGTACAGTCAATTTGCAGCAGAAAGTAAATGTCTGTGTTATCTAGCATATTTTATTAAATTAATCAAACACTGCCATTTTCATCGTATTGTAAAAAAAAAAAAATAACATCAAAGAATCATAAATATTTAGAGAAGAGACGTCCCATTGCTGAATATTTACAAGACCCCTGACTGTGTTCTTTTTACTGCATATTTACTTATAATAAGAGTGAAGAGATAATTTGCTTTTATTAGTTTTAAAGAATAATCCAGACTAGCGATTTTTACACAAAATAAAAGTATTTATTTCACAGACCTCAGAAAGCATAAAACTGATTATTTTGGAAACAACACCTATAGTTTCAATATTAGATATACATATAGCTAGGCTAACTACCTAGTGATCTGTAACTTCTTTGCTGTTGTAGCTGTTGTTTTAATTCATTTATGACAGCACAGGTTTCACTTATATGTTTTATTTTGGTCACCAAATGCGTTGACGCATATTTTTATATATTACTGTTCTGCTAGTATTAAAGAACTCTAATAAATTAAGCTAAAGTAAAATGGGAGATTTCTGTTTTAAAAATAATGAAACCAGGGGGCTGCACTCACCTGAACATGCATACATGCGCACGCACTACTTTTACTTTAGAAAAATACAATGAACTAAAGTTTAACACAAGGAGTATAAAGGGACACCCCGAACAACATAACCACAACAGGTCAAAGTTTCTCCTGGATGGCAGAGCTTAGCTTCCATGAGGAGCAGACATGTGGTGCCTGGGCTCCTGAACCTTAAGCCGATTTTGGGGCATTAACCCCAATTTCAAAGCTGCAAAACCTACTTACAGATGCATGTCAAGTTAGGGGTGCATGTGTGCACAGCTTGATACCTCACTTGAGGTTATATTCTCAGGGAGAACTGAGGTGCTCTGCTGCTTACCCTGCTGTGCTCCTACCACCCCTCCCCGCCTGGGCCGGCGAGGTTTATCTCGGTCCCCACTGGGCTGTTGAGGACTATCTACCCTGTACTTACTTCGTATCACAAGCCCACTGCACACTGCAGGGTTCCACATGCAAGATGGCGGTCTCCCTTCTACCTTGATGCAATCTTCCAGATGTTTTAGACGAGGATTCAAGAGCGTACACAAGCTGCATTGCCGGAGCAGCAGGAAATTTAAGCGGGAAATGAGATGCCTGGAAGATAAATTTCTCCTCATGTTGATCTTGTATTACAGATGTTCTCCAACTCTGCTACTCACCTAACCGGGATGAGGGCCACCCGAGGCTCAGCCTAACTGTATTGCCCACACACACGGAATATCTCACGCCGTTGATGGCTTACTCCGAGTCCTATGCCTACCCTGGAAAGGGAAAGGACTTGGCTCTCGAGAGTGCCCGAGTCCATAGTATCACAAGCCTGGGGCCAGAGGAGACTCTGGCAAATGTATCAGATCCTTATCCCGGTCTCACCTAGCCACACAACTCCTTCACCTCTGAGGGGGATCGGCTAGTTTTGACATTGGGCTCGCCCCATGTGACACCTGTGGCAAAAATATCAGCAGCAGCACCTTTCATGCAATTACAGTATTGGATAACCATATTTTTATTAGTTTATTGCTTTGATTATGTGTTATGTTCAGCTGTATCGATTATTTGTATAGGTGCTGACTCTCTCTGTGGTCTTTGATTCCCAGTGGCACTAAAATCAAGTCCAGTTTTCATTACTCACCTTATCATGCATTATTCAACTGTACTATAGTGCTGTTTAATAAGATCATATTGTCAGTCGGTATAGCCTTATTTCTTTAACTTCTCATATATATCTTACCCACTGATGACTTCTACCACTAATCTGTTATTATAATACAAAAATGTGCTGTCTCTCTGAATGCCATGCTAATGTGTTCTTTAGTATATTTTCACTATGCTCATTAATGCTGTAATAACAAGCTTCTTGTTATTACTTGCACAACCTGAATAAAGATTGACAAATAAAAAAGTTTCTTCTGTTTTTATTGAATTTTTAAATCAAGGATTTGTAGTTTTTCAGTTTTTGAGTTCTGTAAACAAAAAGTACATGTTTTTTTGTTGGTCCTAAAAGCTCTGATAATTCTCACTCATCTTCAATACAATGCAGTATTATTACAGTCCAATCAAAGTCTTTTCTCAAGTACTCTGTTTATACTTAATATCTATTAGTTGGAATTGCACTGGGGCGGTTCTCTTTAAAAGTCTATCGTTGAAAGTAAGCCTGGTTTTGTGTGTATTTTTTTTTTATTATTATGGATTAAACAAAGACTGATTCAATTAAAGTCTAATGAACAATTACTATTTAGCCTGTAAACTAATAGTTGCTTTAGTGGTATAGGAGAGGCCAAGTAGTCTTATCTCCATTGGAGAATTGAAGACAGCACATTAAATATTTAATCTTGTTACATTGACAAATTGTGTGATTTGAGCAGCCAGCCAGATAAAACTGGATTTATTTCACAGAGCCAGTGATAATTACACAACATACTCTCGTTTTCCAGGGAATGCAAGCTATTACTTGCTTTGGTTGTGCAATAAGTTAAGTGAAAAAATATTACTAAGCAAGGATTAATAATTATGGAGTTAGAAAACAACATTATTATTTTATATATATATATATATATATGTATATGTTACTGGACTACTATTCCAAAAATGTGCAATTTTACAAAGTGATGTTTTAGTAACATTGGCTATATAGTATCTTATTTTATGAGAAGAAATGTTTTTTAAGGGGGGTGGGTTAGAAAAAGATGTCAGCTACCTCCTTTTCCCATAAGACATGTGCAGCCTTTAGCTCTTCTCTCCTCCTTGGGGCCTCTAGACAGAGGCTAATCACTATTCCCCAAGTACGGTAGAAAGCAATCAATGAGATGTCAGGTTCTGTATTTTCTCTCACTTTAAAGATTACTCCAATTATAGTCCTTATTGGGGCAGTAGTGTCCAGGCACCATCTTATATTTATATTCTGTTTTGCAACGGTTTAATGGCAAACTTGGAGCACCAGCGCCTAACACCACTGACTTCCCCTCCTCCACAGTAAGGATTCCCTTGGATTCACAAGGAATTGGAGGAATGACTAGGGGGTGGGTTAAATAGGGATACAATGTTGCAAAAAGGGGACCAAATATAAAGTGGCTCAGATGGGAGGGTACTTAGCACTTGAAAGATAGAGGTTAAGGATTATGAAGTTTTCTCCACCCTCCTTTTTGTCACAGCATGCGGTTTTCCTGGCCAGAGCAAGCGATGGAAGTGCCGAGATGGCTTGGGAAGTAGCAGCCTGCTATGGCTGATGTGGAAAAGCAGGCTATCTAGGACTCTGGAGAACATATGGCTTATCTGTCTGTTGCGCATACTCCCCAACAGCT